GCTCGGCCACCAGTAGTCACGGCGCAAGCCGAGGAGGGTTTTCTGAACACCAGGGTGTCCTGCGGAGGGGAGGTCGTGATAGTGGGAGACAAGACGTTTGCGAAGAGACTCATCTGGGGGTACATAGACCCGATCCTGGTATAGGAGGAGGTCATCATCGATGGACCAGTCTGTTCCAGTGCGTGGTGTTCCTCCAGTGCGCGCCGCAGTGAGGCCTTCCTTCATTATTGGGTCGTCCTTAAAGGAAAGGATGGTGTCGCGGGTGTCGATGTCGATGGCAGCGACCCATACTTCTGGTGGGAGCATAACGACGTCGGTGTTGTCATTAGAGCCGTCGTCATGGTCTGGTCGGCGGGAAAGAGCGTCGCTCTGCACCATTTGGGTACCAGGAACGTGTACCAGGCGGAAGTCAAACTCAGTCAGTTTACTCGCCCAGCGTGCTTGTCGTCGGTTCATGTCTTTGGCTTGTTTCCAATATGTGAGGTTCTTGTGGTCACTGAGAATCGTTACTGGGTATGGGCTGCTGATGAGGTAGTGCTTCCACTCATCTAGTGCGCGGATGACCGCATATAACTCCCTGTCATAGATGTCATAGTTTCCCTCTGCTGCATTGAAGCTTTGAGAGAGGTATCCGCAAGGATGCCAGTCGCCGTTGTCGTCGCGCTGGCGTAGTACTGCTCCGGTTGCAAACTTGGAGGCGTCAGTTTCGATAGCGAAGGGTCGATCGGGATCCGGCATGCGTAGTACCGGTTCTTCTAGGAATGCCTTCTTGAGGGTTTCGAAGGCTTTCTGTTGGTCAGATCCCCAGGTCCAGGCGACATCCTTCCGGGTGAGAGCAACCAGCGGTTGCACTTTGTCCGAGAAGCCTTTGATAAACCGGCAGCAAAAGTTTCCAAATCCAACGAAGGCGCGTACTTGCCTGAGGTTGGACGGCACTGGCCAGTCTGCAATGCCAGCTAGTTTGACGGGGTCCATTGCGATTTCTCCTGGGCGGATGATCATGCCGAGGAATTCGACTTCGGTGACGTCGAAGGCACATTTCTCCGGTTTGAGGTAGAGGTCGTGTTGCCGAAGTCGTTCGATAACACGTCGTGTTCGTTCTTCGTGTTCTGCCTTGTCCTGGGAAAAGATCAGGATGTCGTCCATGTAGATGCAGAGCCAGCCTTCTTGAAGCATGTCTGCGAATATTGTGTTCATCATCCGCTGAAACGTAGCGGGGGAATTACACAGCCCAAAGAACATCACCATTGGTTCATACAACTGCGGCGGTTTGCCATCAGTTCTGGGTACAATGAACGCTGCCTTCCATTCGTCCCCTTTCTTGATTCGGACATTGTTGTATCCGGCACGGAGGTCCATCTTCGTGAATACCTTGGTGTGTTTCAACTTGTCGAGGAGGTCTGATATAAGCGGGAGCGGGTATCGATCCTTGACCGTGTTCTCGTTGAGTAGCCGGTAGTCTTGACAGGGACGTAGTGAGCCGTCCTTTTTACCAACAAAGAAGAATGGACTCGCCAACGGGGATTTCGAAGGGCGAATGTACCCTTTACTCAGGTTCTCCTCGAGGAACTTGTCGAGTTCCTTTCGTTGCTGCGGGTTGAGCGGATAGACCTGTTGCTTCATGTCCGCGAAGCCCTCCTTGAGGTTGATTTCGTGGTCATATTCGGTGTGGTCTGGAAGTCGCGCAGCGGTGCCTTTGTCGAAGACGGGGAGGAAATCGTGTAGGTAGGATGGTACCATCTGTGGTAGCGTTTTTTCTGTCTTGCCGTGGGCGTTCGAGGCTGCAAGTTCGGTGGAAGTGGTGACGCGCCTAATGTCGTGGTGGATCTTCCAGATCATGCCGTTGTGAAGTCATTTGTAGCCAGATGAAAGTTCAGGAAGTCGCTCCTTGAGCGGAACGTCCCTTACTGCCAGGGGTTCCTGTTTCTCGTACTTGGTGATCATCGGTGTTCCAGATAAGTAGGAAATGATGAACTCATCATCGTCAATGTCCTCCGCTTGTTCCTCGATGGACGCAATACCCGTTGACCCAAACCCATCCTCCCCGTGTTCTGTTTCGTCGATGCAGTCGGTTAGCGTTACTGGTGGAGTGCTCATCCTTTCAAGGATGAGCTGGGCAACTCGGTCGCCAGCTTTGACGGTGAATGGGAGGTCAGAGTTATTGACCAGCAGGACTGAGACCTTGCCTCGGTAATCGGAGTTGATTACTCCTGCAGCGACATCGATTTCTTTTAGCGCTAGACCAGACCGAGGTGCGATTCTTCCGTAGTGTCCTTTGGGGATAGCCATGACGAGGTCAGTGCCGATCAGGCCTCGTCGTTGGGCGGGGATGATGAGGTGGTGCGCAGCAGAGATATCATATCCTGCTGCGCCACTAGTTTTCTGTTCAGGAAGGATTGCGTGCTCCGAGGTGGGGATGATGATGAATTTGTCCTCCGTTGGTTCTGGGAGTGGAGTAGTTACGGCCTTTTTTAGTTCTAGCCGAGCTACTCGCCTTTGATACAGGTCCATCTTCCAGGCCCTGGTCTCGTCTCTTGTCCACCGGTGGTTCAGCTCCACTCGTCCGGTCTTCCAGTCTATCTTGGGGTTTTCGAGTTTGAGCCAAGTGTGGCCGAAGATGATGTCTTCCTTGCCAATGCTGGCGACGTAGGCTTTGACAAATCGGGGTTCTCTGCTTATCTTGTAAGATAAGAGAGCTCTTCGCGTAATGAGTGCTTCTTTGTTTGGAGTTCCATCCACGTTGAAGACGGGGATGGGTCGGGGAAGAGGTTCTGTCCGAAGTCGATGCTCTCGGACGAATCTCGGGCTGATGAAGATTCCTGTTGCGCCGCTATCGATGAAAGCGCGCACCTCGACGTCTTTTCGTCCCACAGTAATCGGAATGTGCAGAGCGCGTTCATTTCGGACTACTAAAATTACACGGGACAGTGAAACGGATACGGGCAGTGGTTGCATCGGCTCACCCTGCCCCTTCAAAAATCCTCCATCGTAAGTTCTTCGTACAGCTCCTGCTTTTCATCAGCGGAGAGTGTCTTGATTCTGGTGCGGAAGTCGTCCTTCCCAGATCCTCCCTGGTTCGGCCTCCCACCCCCTTGTCGTGCGGCCACTTTCTTTCGGCAATCCTTGGCGCTGTGACCCTTGATGTGGCAGTAGAAGCACAGGTTCCCGTCCCTGTGGAGCTTCCGATCGGCCTCGTTGAGAATGGCTCCTAGTTCCCATTTCCTTCCTCCCGATGTGGAGGCGAAGGTTGATGCGACGGCAGCAGCGTCGATATCCATTGGTTCGCCATAGTCCCTGGTGTCTGTGACGATGAGAGCCCCCTGCTTGGCTGCGTCGGCGTTTCGGACTTCGTCGTACCAGGCCTTCATGGTGTTGGGTCGATCCCTAGCGACCCTTGTTGCGAGCGCAAAATATAGCTCCTTCGGGAGTCCTTTGACGAAGTTGGCATGGAGAGTGTGGTAGTCGTTCTCGACACGGTTGGTGCCATTGACCTCAGCGTCCTTGAGCTGAGCCTTTGATGCTAGCTGCTCGAAGCGGGTGACGTAGTTACCGAGGGAGAGCGCCGTCTTCCTATCCTTCTGTCGTTCGGGCAGTTTCATCAGGATTTGATGTGCCTTGATTCGCGTTCCATGCTCAGGGAACGCCTCTTCTAGAGCGGCGACGAAGTCTGCCCAAGTGGAATAGACCTGGACTCCCCCTGCCGACTTCTCGTAGTATGCGTCTGCCCATGTCTTCCCTAGGTCCTTCCTCATCAACGCTACAGTGAAGGCGATCTTTGCTTCATCGCTGAGTCGGGTGTTGTTGGTGGCGACGAAGTAGGAGAGGATGCATTGGATGAAGCGTCTGAGGTCCTCTGCTTTTCCACTGAAAGGTTCGGGAGCGGGGATGTCAAGGCGAAGGGGTCGGTTGGCAGTTGATTGTTGGGATTGGTATGCTGCGAGGGCGACAGCGATGCGCTGATCGATGTCTGCTTGAGTGAACGTTGCCATAGGGACTTCAACCGGTGCGTTGGTTGGTGCAGGTGGAGCTGGTGGTAGTTCTGGAGCCTCGATGGGAACGTACTGAACGTCCGGGAGCTCAAACGGTTGTTCGTTAACAGGTGACTGTAGGTTCTCTGTTGTTTGTGCTGGTTCGACGTTGATTCGTAGGATGGCGAATACGTCTTCTGGGTGAGCGGGAGGGTGTCTCTGGTAATAGCTGACGAGCTGTTGATGGGCGACGATCTGCGGGTTGGAACCTTCT